TGTTTCAACCCCTGGCCGCTACGTCCAGAAAACTGCCTTGGTCTGGAGGTTTAATAAGCCAGAATTAGTAAATATCCTTAGATTATTACTACACCATAGATTAGTGGTCGAATGTCTTCTCGAGGAAGCACCGTGCCTTCGCTATCCCAATGCATCTTCGCATTTCAGTGTCGCATTTTCCGTCTTCTTTTAGAACAATTCCCAGACTTGTCATAATTCTGACTGTAGGGCTTAAAAGAAGCATAAATATTACAATATTTTGTAATCCCAATGGGTTAAAACCTGACTGGTTACATTCAATGCTTCGAAGACCAAGCGAGTTGCATCCCATCTTTGCCGAGCTGACCCGGAACCACCACCAATCAAGAAGAACGAATGTCCTCTCGAGGAAGCACTGTGCCTTGAAAGACTGCTGGGCCTCAAACTGACACTCGACCTCAAGTGGAACTCATACATACGATCCATTGCTAAAGATGCAGGTAAAATGGTTAGATGTCTGTACCGCTCTAGTAAGTACCTAACTCCTCCGGATATTCTCTACATTTACATAACCCAGATCAGACCAAAAATGGAGTATTGTTTTCATATTTAGGCGGGAACTGCCCAGATATCACTCTCCAGCCTTGATAGAGTTCAAAAGCGTCTCCGAGCCCTTATGGGTGACGAATTATTCTCCACCCTTCAACCTCTCTCCCACAGGGGTGGGGATGTGGCAGGACTCTCGCTGCTTTAGTGCTACTTCTACGGAAAGTGGTCGGAAGAACAACATTCCAAGTCAAACCTTCACGGCAAGAACACGCCATGTCACTTACATAGTAGTAAACCATCTAAAATTCCCTTCCTATTCCATCGAGCAGCTTCTAACAGACAATTTTGCACATTACAGTTAGTATTGAGTTCTTGCGCCACATCTATGCTTAGAAAATCACCTCACGTATGAGCGAGAATAGATATATTAATAACTTTGCGCATAAGTGAATGTAACGAACCCGACCAGAATTCGAAATCGGCTCTCCGATTTCTCAGTCCGAGTCATTATCCATTATACCACAATGAATTTATATACAGGTTTAATAAACGCAGAGTAAAATATTTGAGAAATAAGGATCAAACAAGCCTTACCAGGAGAAACAGATGGAAAGCCCTCAAGCAGCTGATACGTGTATTTGATACAAAAGCTCATTTGAAAAAAAAACCCCCCGCTTCTAGAAAAAAAAAAGAGAAAATAGTCTGAGGAAGAAAAATGTAACGGAAATATATAATTAATCAAGGAAGAAAGGATTAAATTCCTCACCAGTTCTAATTCAGGGAAACGGACTCACCAAAAATAGAAAGCCTGCTCTTCAGAAACACCTCTCTGCCTGTTGTTTTGGCCTTTAAATAGCACAAGCGTCTTACACTTATAATATGCAGCTCTTGTCTTAATGCTGCTTCTACTGCTACTGCAGCAACTCGAAACCAACATTACTGCTACCGCTATTTCTGACCGCTCGAGAATTATCAATGGCACAAGCTCAACTTTAATGTGGGATGTCGACAGTCGTTCAAATATTACTCCATCCCCCCTCGCCACTTAGACCTTTAGCTACGCCTCAGGCGAAGGAAATTTACTGACCCCTGTGGCTCGAGCATTCTGAAATATTCATTCTGAAACACTCTCGGCCGGCTGGTCTCGGGAAGTAGGAAATTCTAACTGTCGTAGGAGATCATGGATCTCTACGTGTTCAGTTTCTGTATTATCCGTGGATTGCCATGATTTCTTCGGAAAGATAGTGGAGTAAATTCCCGCTATTTTCATCTTTGTTTTAAATTCAGAATAGTCCTCTTAGAATGACTACCAAACAAAGCTGGAGAGTCCAGTCTACTTTACTATTTAACCTATGGGTAGTAAATCTTGCTGACCTATTCGTTCGGTCCTCAAAATGGTATCCTATTAAAGTGACCTTGTGCCAGGAAAAGTTTAAATATCGTTTATTTACCTTGTTTACAGTTGGCTGAATCATTGTTTTGCTCTCCGGCCATCTTCAGATGTTTGTCGATCTGGGTCATTTTCAAGGGATTTCGAATTGAACACTATTTAATCTTGTAGGTAGATAGTTATTTCACAGTCCAATTCTAGGGATTTCTTGTTTTGGTTCTCTTTTTTGAGTACTGCTAAGGTGTTGCTAGCCCTGAGGCTGGGCATAGCAATACTACCCGGCCCCGGGATTGGACTCACATTTACTGTAGCACCAAAATCACTAACCAACGCGGTAATTATCCAGGATCTTTTCCAGTTGTGTTCCGTTAAAAAAAAATGAGGGCATTATTCTAACTATAAATAATGTCAAGCTTCCGGACATATCACGTTGAAACATGGTTCCCGTACGATCACTAAAGTCATCGAAATTGGTCAACACCTAGTTGGGTGACCACTTTGGAATACCATGTGCTGCAAACTTAGATGTGCGGGTGGTACAATGGATAACGGCTCGGAATTGGAATGTCGAACTTTATTTCGTTCACTGAGTTAAACTGTTCTAGTTACAGGTGCCATATTTAATGGCTGTCAGTTATCTCCTGTTAATTCCCGTCTCCAAGTTCTCCAACACCTTAACCAGGTATTGAACTCACCCTCTTGGAGAGGGGAATTAACAGGAGATAACTGATGACTGACATCCATTAGACATGGCACGTGGAACAAGAACAGTCCAACCTCAGCGAAATAAAGGGTTCAGTTCGACATTCCACCCACCTGAAGAAGGCCGGGGTGTACAACGGCCGAAACGTTGTGATAAATATGGCAAGATGATGATAATAGTCCGAATAATGTAAATAGTGTACATAATACCTCATCTCAGAAATATAGACAAATAATGAATATGATTATTATTTAAATTTATTAAATAAGTAGGAAAAGGATATATATATATATATATATATATATATATATATATATATATAATGGACTCTCCCGTAGGTTTCGACGTATGAGGATCTGACATCTTAATTGATTCAGTTATGAAATTTTGTGCAATAATCATAAGTGGCACTTAAGACCCGCTAGTGATTTACAAAGGAGGCCACATATGGAGCAAGAATGAGGATTGTGAGATGCGATCACTGTTAGATTGGCTGACCTTTTAGATCTTGCTCTCTCGCTTCTTCAAGATGATTCAGACAAGAAGATTGAAAGCTGCTGAGTCCACTAAAATCACGTTGATCTCCATTCTACACGTTCCAAGTGCTCAAAGGTGTTATGTGGTATATTGGCAGCTGACAAGTTGCTTTTTTGCTTGTCTTTGTATCTTAGCCATAGGCATCCTCCATTCCTGTAGCCCTGACCTAACTGGCTGTACATTAGGATCTTGGTTATCCTGTCATCAGACATTCTCAAGACATGACCAATCCACCATAACTGGCACTGTATGAGAAAAGTCTCGATTCCTCCAATATTACACTTGTTAAACAGCTCTACGTTAGATGTCCTATCTTGAAGGTTAACTTCACAGATTGCACGCAGACAGCTTTTATGGAAAACATCCAGCTGGCCTATATGGTACCTGTATGGAGTCCACGACTCTGAGAAAAAAGAATAGCAAGTACAACAGATCTCTAAATCCGAATTTTCGTATCCAGTCGAATACCCTGCTCATTCCACAAGCGTATATATATATATATATATATATATATATATATATATATATATATATATATATATATATATATATAGGATAGATAAATCAAACGACCAGATATAAGCAAGCGTATACGCTGGTGTGCATACGCGAGCAAGCAGTCATCAAATTTATACAACATAATAGTGCTCAATGTGATTAGACAGAACAAAGATATATATTAATTAGTACCTGCGTTTTGGTGTGCGACTTAAGTTTCGTTGAATTGCAGCTCATCGAACACAAGGTCTATGTTGCTAAATGTAAACAAATGGACCAAAAATAAAATTCGACAAAAAGAGTAGTAAATGAAACACAAATGAGATTACATCATATATATATATATATATATATATATATATATATATATATATATAAGCAAGTGTAAATGGATATAAATCCGACAGAATGAAGAAATTTTGAAAAAACAACCAAAAATTCTTAAAAGTAGTTAAAATGAAAGAAATGTCGACGTCTGACGTTTCGGTTTAATAAACCTTTTTCAAGACAATAAAAAAAATTTTTTTTCAGTTATCTGTTCTGAATAAGACTTGTGTTTTTATGTCCATCGTATTTGTCATATTGAACTGAATTGTATTTTGATGAATATTGTCTTGAAAAGGTTTATTAAACCGAAACGTCAGACGTCGACATTTCTTTCATTTTAACTACATTTAAGGATTTTGTTTGTTTTTTCAAAATTTCTTATATATATATATATATATATATATATATATATATATATATATATATATATATATATTCAGTTCGTTCGGATCGGTATCCGTCCGTCACGGAGACGATGGAGTAGCGCTTATTTTTTTTTCTCTTTTTTCTTTTTTTTCTTTTCCCCCTTTTTCTCTCTGATCGTCAGCCAGCTTCATGTCTCGTTTGCAGACATCCTTGAAGCGAAGCTGAGGTCTTCCAGTTGCCCCCCCCCCCAGCTCTCCGTACAGGATGACTCTTGGGATGTAGCCGGCATCCATGCAGTGTACGTGCCCCAGCCATCTGAGACGTCTTTGGCAGAACAGCGTGAACAGGCTGGGGGTGCCGGCACGTTGAAGGACCTCTGTGTTAGTGACCAAGTCTTGCCACTTAATGTGCAGGAGACGTCTGAGGCAGCGGAGGGGAAAAGTGTTGACCTCTTCTCCTGACTGACGTAAGTTGTGGGACGTCTGCGCAGCGTCGTCAGCAAACAGTATCTCACGAATGAGGACCTCACGGACCTTGCTCTTAGCGCAGTCGGGCGATGTTGTAGAGTTTGCCGTCTAATGCGAATGTAGATGCCCTTCGTGCAGTTGCAGCAGGCGTATTGGAGAAGCATGGAGAAGATTCCAAAGAGTGTCAGCGCGAGGACACTGATTTACGCCGCTGCTCACAGGGAAGGCGTCGGATGCTCCGCCGTTGTAGCAGACTGTGCTGTGCATGTCCTCGTGGAAGGACTTGACCATCTGGAGCAGTCTTGGGTGGGGGTGGCATCCTACCTTCCTCTCCAGGAGGCTGAAGAGTGCGCTTCTGCTGACCAAGTCGAAGGCTTTCGTCAGGTCAATAAAGATGACATACAGTGGTTTCTGCTGCTCACGGCACTTCTCCTGCAGCTGGCGCAGTGAGAGGATCATGCCCACTGTAGATCGGCCCGTCTTGAAGCCACACTGTGGAATTTTTGGATACCCTGGTGTACTAGTGAGCCAGCCAAAATGAGCTGACTCATTTTATAGTTCACCAATAGAAGGATTAACCAATCAGAAGGCTCAAAATATTCAATGCGACGTGTATAAAGGCGGCCATGTTTTTCCCGAATATTCACTTTGATCTCGAAGACTGAGTTGTTTCATTCAACAGATTACGTACTGCGCTGTATTCTATATTCATAGACTGTGGTGAACATGATCAACACACTCCGACTCGGGGTACACACGGGAGGCGAGGCTCTGCACGCGTCGCAAGACGACGCGGGCAAAGACTTTCCCGACGACGCTGAGGAGGGAAATGCCACAGTAATTATTGCAGTCGCTGCGGTCACCTTTATTCTTATAGAGGATGACAATGTTGGCATTTCGCATGTCCCGGGTGACGTGGTCCTTTTCCCAACACAGGCACAGGAGCTCGTGGAGAGGCCGCAGCAGAGCTGGCTTACCACTCTTCAGAACCTCTGATGGGATCCCGTCCCTCCCAGCGCCCCTCCAGCAGGAGAGACAGTCGATGGCTTTTCCGAGTTCTTCGGCAGAGGGCGGATTATCCAACTCCTCCATGATTGGGAGACTGTCATCCAGGGCAGCATCCGTCACCTCGTTCTGAGTTGCATAAAGCTCCAGGTAGTGCTCCAACCAGCACTCCAGCTGCTTGCCCTGGTCTATAATGACCTCTCCTGCCCTGGACTTCAACGGAGCCGTCTTGATGGGAATGGCGCAAGTGCCGGTTTTGATGCCGGCGTACATGCCTACTGCGGTTCCACTGTCGACAGCTGTCTGGATCCTGCTACACAGGTTCAGCCAATAGACGCTGGCGCAGCGGCGTTCAGTCTGTTGAGCCTTGCTGCAAGCAGTGTTGAGGGCATTGCGGGTACTGGCACAAGAGTTTTGCTTGTAGGCCAGAAGTACTTGATTCTTGGCTTCAGAGGCTGGCTGCATCTCATCCCAGTGAGTTTCGTACCAGTCCGCATTTCGACGACCCTTCTTCCTGAACGCAGTAAGGGCTGAGGTGTATATAGCATCACGGAGGTGGTGCCATCTATTGTCGATGTCAGTGGCACTGAAGGAGGATGTGTCGACCTTCGCGCTAAAGGTGGTTTGGAAGCAACGAGAACTCTCAGGGTCATTGAAGCGACAGGTGTTGATGCGAGGGAGGCCCTTTTTTTTGGAGCGAAGTATTTTCTTGGCTGTCAATCTCACTTTGCAGCCTACTAGGGAGTAGTCCGTGTCGCAGTCTGCGCTGTGGAACCTCCGAGTGTGAAGAACGTTCCTTAGGTCTGCACGCCTGGTAATGACAAGGTCGAGCTAGTGCCAGTGTCGAGAACAGGAGTGTCTCCAAGAGACTTTGTGGCGTCCTTTGCACTTGAAGAAGGTGTTCGTCACGCACAGTCCGTGGTGGCAGCACAGTTCCAGCAGCCGCTGTCCATTCTCATTCATCTTGCCTCTGTCCTGACGACCGAGGCAGGAGGGCCAACTGTCACAGTCGGCTCCCACTCTAGCATTGAAGTCTCCTCGTAGGCATAATCCTTCAGTATTGGGGTTCCTGGATATCGTCTCATCCAATGCCTCATAGAACTGGTCCCTGACCTCTGGGGTGGCGCAGAGCGTTGGCGCGTAGATGCAGAGGACGTTGACGAAACCTGTAGATGTTGAGAGGCGCAGTGTTAGGATTCTCTCAGATCCGCCAGTTGATGGTTCAATGGCTGGTATCAGCGAGTTCCTCACAGCGAAGCCTACGCCGTGTTGCCTTGGGTCATCTTGAGGTAGGCCCTGCCAGAAGAAGGTGTAGTTGGCCTCTCTGATGGAACCGCTGTCAGCCAGACGAGTCTCTTGCAGTCAGGCGATGTCAATGCCCAGTCTTGAGAGTTCCCTGTCTATGACTGCAGACTTTCGAGCATCGTCGATCTGTTGGATGTCATTTACGAGTCTAGGGCGTATAGTCCGGACATTTCAGTTAGCAAATCGAAGAGCTGGAGTCTTCGTGTTTTTTTCTTTTCTTCTTTGTGCGGGATTTACAGCTTGCTTGTTAGGAGGATCAGTCCCTGAGCCCTTACACACCCAGTAGAGCATGCAAGCTGTGGCGGGACAGCAACTTACTGGCTGCCCAGCTTGAGGCGGGCGGTAACTGTCCAGTGAGAAGAAATGATCACTCCCACCGACGGAAGTGACCCCAGGCGCCCGCAGCCCACGCCAATCGGATTGGGTTTTCGACCGGTAACTGTCACTTCCCGTGTTGTGCCGATGTCTTGCCACGTCGCTGGAATGTCCTCTCTAGTGCGCTACGAGCCTGGGTGGGATGTATGGAAAACGAGGACTGCCCGGACGTCTAGTTTCCCCTCTCGGCCTTGCTAGCAGAGGCCAAAGGAGAGGATAAACCAATACAGTTTAGTACCAGCGCGGCTGCAGGAGTTGCCGGAAGGTAACACAGAGTGTCATCCATCTGCCTTAGGGGCTCCATTCCGGATTTGTGTAGGGTTTATTCCTTGGCCTTTCCTTCTCCCGATGATTGCCACAAGGCAGTGGAGCTATTTAACCCATACCTGGGGTTTAGTTCATGGGCACATGGGCCTGTCCACACACCAGTGGGCCTGCATGCCGCATGTTCAGGGGGACATCCTACCTTATATATATATATATATATATATATATATATATATATATATATATATATATATATATATATATATATATATATACCTGTAACCCTTCAGCGGGCGGCGGGCTAAATCACGTGAAATTACCATCGAAAGCCGCTGCACTCTTCTGGGCACTGGTAATACCGGAGAGGCATTGCGATTTTCCAAGCGTAGCTCAGATGTGACACAAGGCCGAAAGTACGGGACACCCAATGAAGATCGAACTCACTACTCTATCGTAATTGTTCTAGCGAGGCAAGCATTACACCATTAAACTAAAAACTATGTTTGGAAGCATTACTGATTGTTTTATTTCTTGTTTTAAGGTTTGTTCTCCCTTTGATAACATTGCAAAATATATGCGAAACGAGTTCGCAAAACTATGTTGACATAGGATTTTTTTATGTCATTGTCTGTCTTCCGGCATTTTTGCAGAGAGGTATAACTCCTTGATAATAAAACCTGAGGAGTGTTGTTCATGGCAAATATTTTCACCAACTCCTTGTTATCAGCACTTCCAATAAGTGTGGCTGGTTCTACATAAGCCATCACCACTCGAAACAAATCTTTTGTGGGGATAGTCTGCTGTTCAGTTATGTGTTCTTTCTTTGCTATTCCACCTGAGCAACAAGTCCACTGGCGAGAGAGTTAAGGCGACGGGGACAGGTACAGAATTAAAAACTGAAGTGAAAGATACTGATACGTTGAAAACGACAGGAGTCCATCATATATATATATATATATATATATATATATATATATATATATATATATATATATATATATTTCAATTTCTCTAATGATTATATATATAATTCTATAGCAATTCCTAAAAGCCTATATAGGAATTCATTGGAAATGATTTTAGTAGAGGAATACATGGGAAATTATTCTAATACTAGATTTTTTTGTAACCTGGAATATTATGGATTTATTAAAAATATACAACAAAACTTTCATTCACTCTAATGATTGCATATAGTATCCCATAAAAAATATTAAACGCATATAAAAAAAAAATCACTAGAAATGATTTTACTATAGAAATGCAGAAGTAAATATTTCAATACCTCTTATCTCTGTCACCCTTGCGACCCGGCAGAAATGCCGGATGACAGACAATGCCATAAAAAAATCCTATGTCAACATAGTTTTGCCAACTCATTTCGCATATATATTGCAATGTTATCAAAGTGAGAACAAAGCTTAAAACAAGAAATAACACAATCAGTAAAGCTCCAAACAATTTTTATTGTTTCATGTAATACAAAAGTTTAAAAAAGCATAAAACCAAAAGATACATTTGTTCTTTTCGTTTCTTTATTTCATGCACAATGGATGATCCGATGTCAACGTACTCACACACAGTCTTTGCAAACTTTCCCTTTCTCTAATTTCTTTAGTAACTCCACCTTTCCAAACATGGATAAATATTTATGCATACGCTTCTAACTCCTGGCAGCAGCATCTGCATCTCCTGCTCACGTGGGTGGCACCCTGAATGGGTAACTATGCAGCAATATATAAGAAATGAACAAAATCCTATCACCATAAAACTCTGCTGTTGCCCACTGCTGAACAAATGGCGGATGATAAAAACAAAATCTGACCATGCTTCAAAATTTTTTTTATTGTTTCATGGAAGACAAAAGCTAAAAAAAGAGGCTAAAACCAAAAAAATAATATATACTTACAATTCTAAATGGATAAATGCAGAAATATATAAGAAATGAGCAATACCGTATCACCAAAAACACTCTTCGGAGGCAGATTTTTGCCCCGTAGTAAGTTACCATTTTTTTTCTGCGGTAGACAAGCTGCCATACGGGCCTGTCCTGCTATTTACCCATAGCTGGAGGGAAAAGAAGAGGATTCATAATTTGCCCAAGGGTATTAGCGCGTAAATGAATATAATGGATTCGACTGGAATTCGAACTCAGTTCTCTGATTCCTCAATCCGAGCCGCTATCCATTACGCCACCGTGTCTTCTGCTACGCAAATTACTACTACATAAAATCTTTCATTCCCTTAAGTGAATACATAAATAATGACATAAGGAAGACTAATAGGACATAACAGTTCAATCTTCTACATGGCAGTGAATTCTGGACAATCTCCTCAGAGATGAAGATGAAATTGAAGCAACAAAAATGAAGTTCCACAGAAGGATGCTGAGAATACCATTGACCGAACATGTGAGCAACGACGAAGTTCTAGAAACAATGTAAACAAAAAGGACACATATACTTAAAATGAGGAAGAGACGGGTGAAATTTCTAGAGCATATGAGGAAAGAAGGCTCGGAAAATTTGACATTCAAAAGAGAGATCAAAGACAAGAGGGACAGAGGAAAAAAACGCATAATCTACCTGGCGAACTTAAGGGAATGGATAGCGGAGCAGAATTTGCGAGAGATGGCGAAGAGATCAAATGTATAGAGAGCTACAAAGGATGGGAAGTTGTGGAGATCCATGATCGTCAACACCCTGAAGGGACACAACACCCTGAAGAAGGATATACCGACATAGCGAAAGCATCTACGCGACCGTGTGGGTGATGAATTAGTTTCCACTCTACAACCCCTTTCCTCATACAGGAAATGACGAAAGCTTCGCACTACCATACTACTATTTCAGCACCAATTGTTCCGGCGAGCTATATCGCTGATTTCCACCAGTTCAGACCATTACAGCTGAGACCACGTTCACTGGGATGAATCACCCCAATTTCTTTCATTTTCCATAAGTAGAAAGGAAACTGCATTCGGATAAACTCTTCCCAAGAACCTCTACTTTGTGGAACAGACTCCCGAGATGATGCTTCCCCAACCACTATATTCTTTCAACCATTATCGTTCCTACATATCCTCCAAATATGTACTTCTTACCTCTTTCTCTTCCTTTCGCACTACGGCTTCATTCAATAATTCTCTATTTTGAGTGGCTCTTGGGGCTTTTATTTGGTGAACAGGTAATAAAAAAATAGTATTTAAAAAAAAATGGCATTTAAAAAAAAAGGCACAGTGGAGTAATGGATAACGGTTTGTCTTGAAGAATCGGAGAACTAAGTTCGAATTCCAGTCGGATCCATTACATTCTCTTTTTTTTTTCTATGTAACATGTCCTTTCAGGGCGTAGGCGATCATGGCTCTCCACCTCTCTCAATCCCTTGCAGCTCACAACAAGTTCCTTCCCTCTACTTCCTCCCCCAGACCAAGTTCTGTCATTCATTTGCTTAAGGCCGCTAGGTATGTCATGCGTTGTTTGCCCTTGTTTCTCTATTCCTCTATTCGACCCGTGAGTATCAAATTCACCAGGCCCTCCTCCTCATTATGAGCCCCAGGAACTTCAGTTGTCTCTTCCTGGTGTTAAGTTACGTGCTAATACTTTTGGGAAAGGTACGAATCCTCTTCTCCTCCTCTTCCTCATCATCATCATCATCATCCTTCTTCTCCCCACCTACGTAAATAGCAGGAAAAACTGCGTTCCTTGGGTGGCAACCGGTCTAGGAATTTAAAAACTGTATGTTGTCCTGCCGCTAAAGAAAGAATCGTTCATATTGGCTCGATGATCCCGACTACGGTCGAGTGATGATGATTTAAAGGAAACGCTCTGTGCCATTGGAGGGTATCTGCGGGACAGGGTAGTTAACCCCTGATCTATGGCGAAGTTACCCACCCGTCCATATTTGCATTCACTCGACGAAATTTCACAAGGCCGTCTCCACAGTTCATTCATATCCCGCAATTCATCCCCACCCACCTTCCTCTTTTAAGGTCTTCCTCAAACCCCTCAACGCTAACTTTGGCTTGTTTACACCATTCAGTATGAGGCAAAACACGCCCATTTGTTTGTAAGTTCGTCATTCATAACATTTTTGCCGATCAGCTACAACATGAGACGTCTACTAATCAGTTTCTGACTTAAAAGCCAGTTTTAAACGGAGAGACAGGCCATAAAAAACAGGACTGGTGCGTTTACATTATCAACGCAACATACGTTCTTTACGTGTCACTTCAGTCCATAACTCTCCACGACGTCCTATCTTTTAGAGCTGTAAGCAATGTTCCTCCCCTTACTATCCCACCCAGTTTTTGTTCTGTATGTTACTCGTTGTTTTCCTCCTGTTTCTCTTGCCTTCAATCTTCCCCGTGAGTGTCGAATTCTCCAAGCTGTACTTTCTCATAGTTTGTCCTAGAAATCTTAGCTGTCTCTTTCTGATTATATCTATAATTATCCTTTTATATTGGTGTAATGGTTAACAAGCTTGTCTCGCTAGAACA